TTCAGTGCCTGGGGTAATAGGGATGGGAGTGTCAGAGGCAATGAGATTGGCATGGGATAGAGCACGGTTTAGGGCTGTTGTACATAGGGTCGCTATGAGTCGCAAACGACTCGACGACACATAACAACTACAACAAGGGGTGGGGACAGGTGGTCCAGGAAGGCCTCTGGTGGGAAGATCTGTCGGGAAGTGGTTCTGGTGAACTTTGCTCTACGGCACCCTCTTCTCTTTCTGTAAGTTGCATCTTTTATGCCTACTGTTTTCTTTTCTAGCCATAACCTACCAGTAGTAAAGGACCTCATGGCATGCTGACTATACTATGATCATCTTTCTTTCCATTCTTTTCTGTACTGCTGACTTGTCACAACCCATGCTGCAGGAAACAGGCCACCTTGGTCTTGTACTTGCATGTTCCTCCCATGCACCACCTTGTCTGTGCATGCAGCTGGGACACCCGTCCACACTCTGTAAACTAGTCGGGTCTGATCCGTTCCCTCCCACTGCTGCCCTGTGGTTGAGGTCTTGGCCACACTGCTTTTCTGAGAATTCCTAACTCCCCACATCTTGGCTTACCTTTTAGGTTGTACTTGTCCCCCAGGCCCATTGGACATTTGTCTCTCTCTTTCCCAGGATTCATTCTTCTCTTCTGATCATCCGTCCTCATGTCAGTTTTTGCTGTCTTTTGATTGATGATCTCAGCCTTCATTTTCCTCAAGAGTGGAAGGGGGTGTCCCTCAAGGACATGGTTGGGATGTAACCCTGTCTCTGTCCTTTGTGTGAGCAGGCAATGGGAAGAGACAGGAGATCCCACTCTTTATAGCTGAGAAGTCAGGAAGCCTTTTAGCTTTCTAACTAATCCACCTGCCTGTTTCTTTTACTTACATATTGACCCACTTAAAAAAAATTATTTATTGTAAGGGAGCTCTGGTGGCCTAGTGGCAGGAAGCTGCACTGCAATCCCAGAGGCATGTGGTTTGAGTCCACCAGATGCCCTGCTGGAGAAGGAAGGATAATCTCCCTGTACCAGTCAGATCCAATGTGACAGTACACACACAAAAAAATTTAAAAAAAAAATTATTATGGTATAATTGAAAAGTTGTACATTTAAGGTGTAGTTTCATTTTGTTATATATATATATATATATATATATATAAAATATACTCACACACACACACTCATAGAACCACGAGCAAGATACAGAACATTTCTGTCCCTCTGAAAGCTTTCTTTGTGGTGCACGCTTTTAAAACTAGTATGTGTTAAAATAACAGATATAAAAATAATTGCTTCCTACGCTCCCCCCTGCTTTCTGGGCAGGTGTAACCTATATTTTGAGACCACTCTTTAAAATGGAAAGTAAAACTTGTAACTGTGCACAAGAGGAGGCTGCCATGCAGGGTTACACGGGGAGGTGCCCCCGGGAAACGGGAAACAGCAGGTAGAACTGAAAGAGGCAGCTCATAGGAGCAAGTAGGAACTCTGGTTAAGCACCAGAAAGGTCAACGGTTTGAGCCTCCCAGCTGCTTTGTGGAGGAAAAGGTGTGGTGTCGGCTTGTATAAAGATGACAGCTTAGAAAGCCCTGTGAGGCAGTTCTGCTTTCTGCTCTTGTCCTCGGGGCAGTATGAGCTGTCTGCTCAGCAGCAGTGGGAAGGTCTAGGTAGCTGGTGTCAGAGATTCCTTGAGAAATGGTTAATTTGGACAGTTATGTAGATCCAAAGGGGGAAGGGGCCATCCTTGGGTGTCAGGCATTTGGAGCCCCTGGTGGTCTATATGTTGTACTAGCCCCTAACGCCCACAGCAGAACCTGAGAGCAGTGAAATAATTGGGGTATAGACTGAGCAAACTGCCTATGAAGGGGAATTAAAAGTTTTAAATCCGTGGGGAGTTCTGGTGACCCTAGAGGTTAAGACGTTGAGCTGCAACCCCAAAGGCATGCTGTTCAAATCCACCAGCTGTTTTGAAGGAAAAAGATGAGCAGTCTCCTCTCAGGGCATTTCCTGCCTCTGAAGATGCTCCGGAGGGTTGGCTGTGAGCCGATGAGGCACAGCAACTATCTCCAAACTGGGTTGAGATAGCATCTGTGACATACTCTGTGACAGGCCAGTGTGGGACCACCCTTGGTCGTCTTCTAAGGATGGGTGCGTGGGGGATTTATGTCCGTGGGCTGCAGTGTGTTCTCACATGGTTAGGATTTGCATGGGACTGACTGCATGGGGAAGGAGCCCTGGTTAGTGGTGGTGCAGTGGGTAAGCGCTTGGCTGTGCCAAGGGAGAAGAGACTTGGTGATCTCCTTCCATCGAGATTAAGGCCTAAAACACAGACAGATTCATTCTTGGATGGTTACCAGGGAGGGTAAAGGAAGGAGAAGGGAGAGAAAAATCGTAAATAGATAATGGAAACTTACTAAGTTCGGTGAAAGGAAAGGCAGCTTACAATTAGGGGTTGGTAAGACATTGTAAGGAATTGCACACTTAATTCTAATTCATGTTACAAAACAAAATGTATACGGATGATCAAATGAAAAACCAGTTATTTATCAGCTTTCGTGCAAATCACAGACAATTTTTTAAAAAAGGTTTCTGTTTAGGCAGTCAGGGGGCAGACCTCTTGTCAGGTTGCAGCTTGTTGTATTTGACCCCTGTGCACAGTGATGTGTGGGTGGTGGTGGGAGGGTCTGGGTCTTTGCGCCGTGTGTGTCACTGTTCTCAGGGTTTCCCTTACTACATTTTCCCTTCTTTCTCCAAGGCCGTTGGCATCCACTATGAATGATAAGCTGGAGCTGCAGGAGTGTCTGGAGCATGGCAGAATAGCCAAGGTTAGTCCCAGGGCCTGGGCTCTTCCCCGCAAGTGCGGGCAGGTGGGTGGGTGGGTAGGAAGAATAGGATTGAACAGTCATCTGGGCTGTATCCCACCTGCCCCTGAAGGCCTGAGTATAGTCATGTGGAAAATGCAGTGTAGGGGTGTTACATGGCCGTGCAGCCAGCCAGCCCAGGGAGCAGGGTGAGAAGTCATTGCTGATCTTCATAGCCTTTCAGCCCTGTTTGTCATCCCCTTGGAGGGAGACAATACGGTGTCTTTGTCTAGGTCCTGTGGTATTCTCCCTCTGCACCCTCCAGTTTTCTGGCTGGGACTTTTCACAAAAACTTTCAAGGCAAAACAGACTCCTTGATGTGAAAGCTCTGTTTCTTTGCAGAGAAATCTCACCCAGGAGAAACGCGTGAGGTATTGAGTTCCGTGTTAGTACGTCCCAGCATTCGGGACTACTGATAATGTAGAAGGAGTCTTTGAGCCTCTGAATGATCCATCCGGCATCCTTTAAGTTACTGCATTTGTGCAACAAGTAAACTAGAACTGCGAAAGAGTTACCTTTGGAAGGCATAGTAGGGACTACTACATAGTAGGGCTTTGAATGAGTCCGGGCCTAGCAGGATTGGATTAGGACAGCTGGGTGGCATCAAAGCAGGAAGAAGGCAGTGGTAGCTAGTCAAGGTCAAGATTAGCAAACCCAGCTTACTTGGAGCCCTTCAACACTCCACCCCTGATGGCACTCCAGGCTTGGTGAGCATTGGGCTCACGGTAGCTGGCTAGAGCCTGGCGTGCACAGAGCAGGTGTGTGATCTGCAGTGAGTGGCCATTCATGTTCTCCTCTCTTCGTCTTGCAGTTCAGCAAAGTAAGGACCATTACTACTCGGTCAAACTCCATAAAGCAGGGCAAAGACCAGCATTTCCCTGTCTTCATGAATGAGAAGGAGGACATCTTATGGTGCACTGAAATGGAAAGGTACCCCGGGCGGGTGTGCGCTTTTTTTGTGTCGTGTGGTGTATTCTAACTATTGTTGTTTCGAGAAGTTTCTCACTTGTGTGTCCCACAAGCTCGATGTGAGCAGTGAGTGCTACCATGAATCTCCCAACATGACCGACCCCCGGGGAGGTTCCTGGCCAGCCAAGGCCCCCTCCTTGTGCATTTTACAACTGGCCCCCAAGGTTAAAGGCGTCTAGGGATTAATTCATAGTGGATGTGCTCCCTAGAGAACCAGGTGTACTCCAGTGAAATACTGCAGCTACACGACAACACAGCTGCTCAAGCTCTGTTGCAGATTTCACCAGCATTTGATGAAGTAGGGCAGGATAGGACCAGGGGGACTTTATAACGCCAGCCCTCCACCGTGGGGCAGACCAGGCTCACGGGACCAGATTGTCTCGTCGTGTTTTGGTGTGACTGAGGGTTCAGCTGGACAAAAGAGATGCTTTTTATATAAACAACCAGAGCAAACAGGAAATCCTTGAACTGTTGAAGTCAAGCCAGAGTTCAGCCCTTTGTGAAGTTTTCTCTTTTGTAGGGAAGATACTAGGAATGGATTTGTTGCATGCAGGCTTGAGAAGATCTTGGTGGACTCAAATCACATGGGGGTTCTGGTGAAGGAGGAGGGACTTTTCCACAGATACAGACTTTGTTTCTGCTAACACAGTGAACCCTCTAGGCAGTGATTATCTGTCATGTGGTGGTGGTGGTGGTGATCCATCCTGTGGTGTTGATTGTGATGGTAGGTGAGGCCAAATCAATTCTTACTCTTGCCCAGTCCTGGTCATCCTTCCTTAGATTTAAGCCCACAGAGACCGTCGCAGTGCCTGGCATGGAGCTAATGATCAGTATTACATGATGTAGGATGCAGTGGGATTAAGGGGAGGGCTTCTGTGTGGTGAGGGCAGCGGGAGAAGGGGGTACGTACACAAGTGCTGCCATTGCTTGGGTCCAGCTCCTTGTCACGTGGAACTGGCTGAAGCTGTGTGCCCCGCCAGCCTCCTCGCAGCCTGGGTCTGGCCTGGCCAGCACTGACCTTGCCCTTTCCGCCTTATCTTTTCTCCCCCAGGGTGTTTGGCTTCCCTGTCCATTATACTGATGTCTCCAACATGAGCCGCTTGGCGAGGCAGAGACTGCTGGGCCGGTCATGGAGCGTGCCAGTCATCCGCCACCTCTTCGCTCCGCTGAAGGAGTACTTTGCTTGTGTGTAAGGGACATGAGGGCAAACTGAGGTAGTGACAAAAAGCTAAACAACAACAAAAACAAACATGAAAAAAAAACACAAAACAAACCACCAAGAACATGAGGATGGAGAGAAGTATCAGCACCCAGAAGAGAAAAAGGAATTTTAAAACAAAAGTCAAACCACAGATGCGGAAATTACCGGAGGTCTTTGCTTTGCAAAGAGGGTTGGACATCATTTCCTGATTTTTCACTGTTAAAACTTCAGTCCTATTTAAAAGCAAAACTCAGCTCCCCTTCCCACCTCTCCTCTCCCCTTTTTAATTTCTGATCAAACCTTCTGTTTTCTACTCTTTCCAGAGGGGTTTTCTGTTTGTTTGGGTTTTTGTTTCTTGCTGTGACTGAAACAAGAGGGTTTATTACAGCAAAAATTAGTAACAAACAAATTAGTAACAATACCTTGCAGAGGAAAGATGGGAGAGAGTGGGGGGGGAAGGAAATTCTATAGAAATCTATATATTGGGTATTTCTTTTCTTTCCTTTTCTTTTTTTTTTTTTTTACTCTATATCTTTTTTCTTTTGTTGTCTCTAGCCTGGTCAGACAGGAGCACAAGCAGGGGACAGAAAATAGAGATACTCGGGCGGCGCAGTTCCTTGCTGGCCCCTGAGCCATCTTGCCAGCACCATTCCTGGTCATGCAAACAGAACCCAGCTAGCATCAGGACAGACAAGAACACCCACACACAAACTTTTCTCCAGTATTTCAGGTGCCTACCACACAGGAAACCTTGAAGAAAAACAGTTTCTAGAAGCCACCGTTACCTCTTGTTTACAGTTCATATATATATGATAGATAATGAGATATATACATATATAAAAGGTACTGTTAACTACTGTAAAACCTGACTTCATAATGGTGCTTTAAAACAGCGAGATGAGTAAAAACATCAGCTTCCACGTTGCCTTATGTGCAAAGGGTTTTAACCAAGGATGGAGAAAGGGACAGGGCTGGAAGACCTTGGTTTCCAAAAGGGGAAGGAGGAGAACTTGGGGACAGTGGTCTCCCGTTTCTCCCTGCCAATAAAAGAGGGTGAATTAGGTCGAGACCCCACGGGAAGCTGAGCATGGAATTCATCCAGACTCGCGCAATAACCTTTTGATTTCTGTTCTAAGAGGAAGACTCCCTTGGGAACGTGGCAAGGCGAGGGGGTCTTCAGTCTCAATTTTTCACTTGAGCTGATTCGAGGGCACCTTGTGGTGGGATCAGAAGTCATCCAGAGTGTGGGGAAGTGACAGGTAAAACCCCGCCTGGAGCAAATAAAAAAACATACAAAACGTACTGGTGCTTTCCTGTCTAAGTCGCCTTTTGTGTGTTCTTTTATGAGGCCCCCACCATCCACCCCTCTGCACAAGGCGGCCCTTGGCCCCTGGAATGTGATGTTTTTGGTCATCTCCAAAAGGCTGCAGTTTTATACTGGGAGGCTGATGACACATTTTATTATAATTATTCTTATGGTTCTGGTTATAATTATGTTTGTTTTTAAGAATTTTTTTTTCTCTTTAAGAAAACAAAAACCCAACACCCCTCCCGTTAGCTTTCAAACCAAGGTGCGGGGAGCAGGGTGATTTTAAGTACAAGTGGTGGCTCTGGTGCCCTGGCTCCCCACCCTGTGGGCCAGGTGGGCCACCAGGCACAGTGACGGCGGGCGTCCCGAGAGGCCGCTCCGGGTGTGCCCTCATCTCTTCTACTTCCCCTCCTCTGAGTCAGGTGTGTGTCAGGGCTGGGGGAGGCCCCGCAGGCCCTCTCCTCGTGTGCGTGATTGGAATGGTGTGTATTTCTTTTCTAGTACTTGGTCTCATGATAGCTGGGCTCTTGCCTTGAGCCAGCAGCACCTGGACCCCCCAGCTGCGTGACGCAGGGTCCCACTTCCCCACGGAGGCGGGCCGCCTGGCGTCAGCAGTAGGAAGGGACGGCACTTGGGGGCTCCAGGGTGAGGGCCCGATGGGCAGACGCTTGCCTTGAGCGATGGGGTGTAGATATGTGGCATATAGAGATATATATTTTATAATGGGAGGGGGGAATGGCCCCTCCTGGGACCGGCAGAGATGGGGGGATGTGCTGCTAAGCACATGGTCCCATGTTCGCATCCCTAGAAAGATAGGGCCTATGGTGATAGGCACCATATAAATACATAGATAGGGTCATGTATAAGAAATATTATGGAGTGGGGGAGCGGGCTCAATGTGCTGAGCCCCGGCCCCTACAGCAGACAGGACTGTCCCACCCCAGTCAGTCTCACAGACACAGGAGCAGATTTCTATTATGAAGCAGAGTGCGCTTGCACACGCCAGGAGCCCCCAGCGCTCTCCCCAGGATTCAGGACTTTGTGGAGTCAGCCCGTGCAGCTATTTACCTCTGTTGCCCTGATTGCAGGCCGACTGTCAGTCCCAGAAGTTGCTAGGTGCTGAAAGCAGGAAAAAGGAGGAGGTTTTATTTTAGCAGGTGCTCTCCTCTACAGGTAGTGTTCTATCTCTTTTACCCCTGGTGATGTCAAAGTTTCTTCTGTTAGCAACCTGTGATACTGACCTGCAACTCTAGGCGCCAGTAAAGTCAGCCCTCAACTCCCCCTACCTATTCTCCCCTGACCCGCCTCCCCACCCCCCGAAACCAAATTGATCTCCGCGTCTGCCTTGACCCAGGGACTTCCATTAGAAAAACAAAACATGGGACAGGGAATCTTTTCTTAGGAATATAGTAAATTACAAACCAGTGACAAAGCAAAACCACGGCTTTGCATCCCTTGCTCATCGCTCAGCTGAAAGCTCCCAGCTGGTGGCCACTCTCCCCACCTCCCTGTTTGAGGTGCTTAGTCTTGGAACCCACGTTACTTGTTTCCTCCTAGGATCAGCTTGTAAGATCATGCTTTCTCAGTTGCTTCCAACCACTTCCATGGGCTGAAGCAGCCGGGAGATGGGGAGACCTTTGCCCCTCCCTCGTTGGAGTCCCTGTCCCTAACTGTGGTGCTCTCCCCACCCCCTCCTTCCTCCAGCCAGGCTCCATTCTTCCTGGCCTGGTATCCACCAGCACCACTCCAGGAGGGCAGGGTGGAGGAGGGCTGCTGATGGCAGTCCAAGGTGCTCCCTCCCCCAATGGCCGACACTTAAGGTCTTCCCAGCTCCCCACGTTAGGACAGTGCCTCGTCACTGGCCTTCCTCTGCAGACAGGCTGTCCATCTCTGTCCAGGTGCTCCCAGGCTTATGTGAAGGAGTGCACTTTTCTCATGTTCCAAGCTCTACCTTACCTGGGCCTGGTGTTCCACCCAAGAGGTGGATTTAGGGAGTCAAGGAAATTAGTAAACTATGGGTGTTGCAGGCCTAAAGAATTTTTTTCTGGGCAGAGATGATATGCTTGCTGCCTCAGCCACTGGGGTTGGATGGTTAGGCCACCTTGTGCAGAGAGGAAGTGTTGGGGTCCGAGACTGTGTCGTGAGCACTGGTGCGTCAGATTCACATCCTGGTGGCCCAGGAATGGCCTAGTTGACCCCTGGGAGGCAGGACCACCTTGCAGGGACCAGATCTAACAATCAACAGCTGTTTGTCCATCTCAGCTAATGGGCTTGGTCTTACAGTAGAAGTTGGCAGGGGGACCTTGGAAATGCGCCAGCTTGATGAATAAGACTGAGAACAGAGGCAGTAGAGAGGGAGAAACCATGAAGGCCAGAGAACGTTCTAGAGTATATCCCCTGTGGAATTTCCAAAGTTTAGGTCTGTTGACTCCCTAAAAATGAGCCATGGAGACTTTTAGAGGCCAAGGTGACAGCCTTCCTACCACAGGTGCCAAGTGGAGTTTGGTGCCAAAGAGATTTGTGGTGGGGTCACCGGCCCCTGGAGTACTTACCTGAGAAGGAAGTGAGTTTCCAGCAGGTGGCTGCAGAGCCCCCACAAGCCTCACCTTGGCTGGTGCTAAACCTGGAACCGACTTGTTAGTGCAAAGGGCAGACTGGAGAACAGTAGGCAAGGGGCCAGCAGGTGAGACGTAGCAAAAGGACATTCACTTGGCAGATGATAGCATGTTTGTGACTATCCTGATTCTCTAGATCCAGGAGCAATTGTCTTCTTGCTATTGAACATCCTCCTTAGAAAGCCAACATCCTGAGAGAACATCCAGGACCTCTTAACTTTTGAAACAGGCCTTGGAGTGTTGGCTCATGGAGATGCCTGTGCAATCACTGTTGCGTTGCTAGTGTGTGGTTTGGAACTGGCAGATGCAGCAGGAAGTGCCAGCTTCCATCACCTCCCATCTAGCTGCCTGTAGGCTGTGCCACGTAAGGAAGCCCAGATGGGAATAAGCTACCATTTTTTACACTGGGACAATCTCTGACAGGAGCAAGGAAAAGACAGGCAAGCTGCTCAGGCAATTTCCTTACTGCCATACAGAGTAGACACAAGGTGGATTTTGGAGGCAGTTTTGGATTCTTGTCTCTGGTCTGCTAAGGTCCCGGTGGTTGTGACACTAACTGGTGTCTTTCAGAGCTGTCATCGTCATGAGCTTAGCCGGAGTCCCTTTGAGCTGTGGATGTGAGTTAAGGTCATGGAGCCCACCTGTGCAGTGGCCTAAAAGGGGCTGGTGGTGTTTGTTGGTCGGAGGCATGACTGAGCCAAGATTGTGGTGAGAAATGCGTTTTTCTCCAGGCCTGTGTCTGCTCCTGGGAAGTGGGTAATCGGGCATTCTCTAGTCTAGCTGCTCAGAGTGCTGGGTGACACTGGAGCAGGGCGGCCTGCCTACCCGGAAATAAGCACTCGAAGCTTCCAGCCACCACAGGATGGAGGGGCTGTGAGGGAAGATTTGTCTTGAGCTGAAATAATTGCTGTTTACCACGGAACGTAGGTGAACCCCAGGTGTGTAGAGTAACACGGGGTGGACCTCACTGTGTTCGCAGGAGCTCTGGGATCTGGACATTTTGGAAAAGGTAGCCTGGGGTCATTGAGAAGAGTGACCACTCCTTACTGCACCTGTGTTTAAGAGACCTGGCAAAGGTGGGCCTTTGGTTAGAGACCTCTTAC